TACAAAATTTTGTAAAGATACACTTAAAATATTAAAATTAGTATGTAAACTATAACGAGGTTATGGTTATGGCAGTGACCTAGCCCGTGTCGAAAGAGTTAATGATCCATCGCATTATATCCCAATTTGCGTAAAATTGGGGTTTTGCTGTATAACATTCACTTAATTTATAAATTAAATTGAAAAACTGTTGCAGTGAATAATGATTTTTAAAGATTAAAACATTGAAGATTTCTTTAAAACTTAATATGACATATGTTTTGGTGACTTTAATCAGACATTATTTCAAATAACATTTCATGTTCTGCTGTAGTTTATCATACTGCTGTTTAATCACACACACACACACACACACAGATTTAATAAATTTCCCTTTGACTCTCTCTCTCATAACCATTTTGTGCTTGTTATAGTTTTCATATTATAGTTTTTAATACAGTGTGTGTATTTTCACGATATTTGCAGATTATTGGTAAAGATTACAAGGCTTTATTACACAAAATATCAGATTTTGTTTTTAAGTAATGATTTGCTCATGCATTTTTTCTTTTCGAATGTTGACTATCCAACATGCAAAGTAATTTTGATTTTAAGATTAAAAATACTTTTTATGCATCAGAAATTGTCAAATTCCACATGCAAAATCTTTATAACCTCCTAATTATCAAACGTTTTTTTTTAGAAAAAACTTTAGATTTTGTGTTATTTTCACTATTGTATCTCTGTATTGGTTTGGTCGATTGACCAATATAAAAATTAGGAAATATATATAAATTATGCTTTTTTCATTCTAGAATGACTACAAATTATAACAAAAAACTCAAATATTTAGTCTTAATAGCTTAAATCTCATAACATTATACATTTATATATGAATCTATATCTATGTTTTATTGACCTTTCAGCTGTGTCTAATGATATTACAGAAGTTGCACTGATGTGGCACATGTGCACTTGTGTTACTGTACCCAATAGTATAAACTGACCTTTACAAAGTGACCTGTCTTCAGTTTGTTCTAGTGAACCAGCATTTTGTAAAATAGTCACATTTCGGTTATAATACATTACATATGTATATACTTTATTACTTTCTACAAATAAGTTCTTAAATTTCAGTTATTTTTCTTAAAACATAGAGCAGTAAATAGATAAATATAGAAAACAATGATTTTTTTCACTCGTTTGCCCACTTGCTGTAATTTGCTACAACAAAGATTTTTTTAGGTTTCATATATACATTTTGAAATAACCAAATATTATAAATTACTCTATCAATATTACAGAATTCCACAGTAATTTATCAGGCTTACTAACTAAATTGTATTTGAGTGAAACAATTATTGTTTTATGGACAACATTTTCACTTACCCCTTCCTTCTGAGATTCAAGACAAAGGAATAACCTTGGGAACTTCCCACCTTCTAGAGGCTGGGAAAACCATATGGGAGACATTCTGAGTTTTTGATTGGTTATTCACATATTCTAAACAGAAGTAGGTGTATGTAAGAAAGTATTTCCAAAAATCAAAGAGGTGGGTGTAGCCCACTGTATTTGGTTTGCTAAATGTAGTGATATTTCAGCAAATAGAAAAGATATGAGGTTCTTATTTTGTATTCTAGCTTGTCAATATCGGTAATTTGAGTTTATAATTCATAAGAAACTATAGACTTTGTATTTGGACATCACAAACATTTAATTTGAGCCAAAGCTGCATTCAACATATCATGTGACACACAAAAATCAATATTTAGGAATTTTATATTAATATTTACTTTTATATTAAGAAATTAACTAATGTATAATACTAAAATTTAGATTATAATCTACAATTTGATATCTAACTTATTGCCATACATTCATAAAATAGAAGATAAAAAATGTTTGAATGTAAGTCTTCAAATGTGATGACATTCTCTTTGTCTCCTGACCATAGGAAGACTCGTACCGAGAGGGTTAAGCCTAATGAAGGACATTTTCAACCTTATTAATAATTTGAAATTTTTGTACTGCAGCTTGATTGTTTGATTTGGTTTCTAACAAGAATAAAGTTTTTGGTATATACTCTGAAGTTTAATACATTTTTCCAAAATGTTTTTTTTTCTTGTTGTTTTACATTTACATATCCAAACATGAAATAACAGTATTAATCATTAGAGCCAAAAATGTACATTTCACGAAATAGTTTTTGAGCTAAACCTGTAACTTGGTTTTCAAAATTACCTTTTCTGCAATTTTTGAAAATTTTCATAATAAATAATAATAAAAAAGGATGGCAATGATAGTAAACAACAGTAGATATTACAGTTGTCTACTTGTATATCCTTATTTATTTAGCTGCTAGTGAAAACTGTTAAGTGGATGTTTCCGGAGTTTTCATTTATGTGGGTAGCTGAGGAAACGAAGCGAAACTTGCCTCTTGAATTGGATTTTCTTCATGAAGGAAGAAATGCAGAACAAGTAAAAAGAATGTTTTCACATCTTTCATGGCTGAAGGTAACTATCTGTTATTATTTGCTAGATATTCTTTGAATATTTAGATATCCAGTTATTGTTTTTTCATTTGATAAGATTTTACATAATTTCATGTAACAACTAGCTTGCATTTGGTAACGTTTTTGTGGCAATCCCATTTTTGAGCTGAAGTGTTCATTCACTTAACAATTACTACTAGTAGAGCATTTTTTAATAATTAAAATTACCTACTGTTCACAGTTTTAATTTCTTGTTAGGAAATATTACCTTGAGTGAACTTAGAGAACACTAATCATACAGCAATAAAACTTGATTTACACCTGTTGAGGATTTGTGTTCCATATCAGAATTCTGCATGTGAATTTTTATAACCATATGTTCAGAGTGAAATTTAATAGTTTTTTAAGTATTGACTGCATTATATTCAAGTGTGATCAGCATATTAAACAAAGTTTTATAATACACGTCAGATAAATACTTTTTTCATATACATTTAGGTAGATGCTGTTATAAACAAAACTTGGCCACCTTATGCAATACTAAGCAGCTGAAACTTGGAGATCATATTCATCTTTAAATTCATTATAGACCTCAGTTCTGAAACACACTTTAGTAGCTTATGCCCATTTCACTAATATGAATATTATAGTCTCTTTGGTCAATTTTTTATGTAACTAACAACTTTGGTATAATATAATTTTTTTATTATAATGGATCAAATTTTTGTTTAAAATATTCAAATAACCTCACTCATCTACTTATGTGTATGATAGTTTTTATGTTGATTTTTAATCAAAAATGGTCTGTGCTGAAAATTATGTATTAACCTTTTTTATGTGGTTTGGAATATAAATGTAATCTTTTGAAGATGCCCATGTTTCAGTCTTATAATAACATTTAAAAGCATTATCTGTTTTGTAGAAGTAGTAGGTGATAAAAGCATCTATAGCTAAATGCCTCTTATTCATAGGAAGAATACAGCATTTGTAGCATTCATGTACAACCACAGCTGTCACTCACAGATATACTTAGCTTTCATAGACTACTGTGTGTTAACACTAAAAGAAACTCAACATTAATTGCTTACTTATGTTATGCACTTCTACAGAAAGTATGGAACAGCATAGCCATAAAAAACTTCTAGTCCTATTTTTTCTGCATTTTTAAATCATATGTGTGTAATAAGTGCAAGAAGTTTTGTTTTATAGAAAAAAAAAACACTTCAGGCTTCAGGTTGAACACACTCCACTTGCAATAAATTTTTCATTTTGGCAAAAACAAAATACCGTGTTCTGTTCCATAGTGATGAAAGATATACAGTGGAGATTGTACATTTGCAAATCAAGTTCACATATTATACAGCTGTATCATTATTACTGTTATACAGTCATAGGATATGTCAACACCAGTTTTTATAAAAAGACAAATATAGCTAAAACTGCATAGGTGACAAAAATAACACAAATAAATAATAGGTTGAAAAAAATTCTGATGTACTATTTACTGTGGGATTCACTACTTTTGGTATTGAAATCCATGATTTTGCTATTGCTAATTTTATGTCAATAAACAATTTAGATAGTGACTTTTAAGAATGAAGCCAGAATCCTGATTTAAGATAATGAGAAATTTCTTTCGAATTTGTTTGTTTTTTAGTTTAATGTTTAGTATTTTGTTAAGTTTTTTGTTAAGTGATGAACGGAAAGAATGAAGTGTAACATTGACATGTTCTTGTAGATCCCTGCTGTTTATTGGGAGCTGTCATCTCCTAGAGTGTTGACTATGGAGTTTTGTGATGGAGGTCAAGTGAATGACAAGAAATTTTTAGAGAAAAAAGGCATATCATCAAAAGAGGTAAAACAGAGCTGTAATCTATATGAACTAATCTTTAATCATAAAGTAGTTGAGGAGACATTATTTTTATTATAAAGAACAACTGTCATCTTTATTTGTATTGATGCAGTAATAAATGCAATTCTGAAATTAAGTGTTATTATTCAGTGCATGTGAGCATTTAGGATCAAACTTTATGCATGAATATATACCTGCGGTGTAGCTACCTTAAGCCTTTCCATAATTCTCTGACTGGAAATCACCAACTTCTAGAAAGAAAAAAGTTTATCTCTAAGAGATACTCCAAGTTTGGAATTTTCACTTTTCCTATAAAAATTTGAAAGTGTTATTGAAGTGAAACAAATCTTTAAGTACTTTCAACTAGTTAAGCAGTAAAAATATAATGACATGATATAACAAACTTTTTTGTTGTAGATATTTTTCTTTCATTTTCACTTTACTGCTATGATGAATTAAGTATTTTTTTAAATATTAGTCATCATATACATTGTTAAATTGAAATGAAAAATAAATATTGACTAAACTGTGTAAATAAAAACTATACTTGTTTGTTTCCCTTTCCTTCATAATTATCATTATTAAGTACCAGTGATGGGCAGTATAACAAAGATTGTTCTTATATTATTACTGTCATTAATAATTATATACATTTACAACTTAGGCAAAACTAAAGGGAAGGATTGCATAACCTGAACAGTTATGCTTTCCCATACTTAAAATTGCTGGTCCTAAACTTTTTTGTTTGTATCTATTTTGTTTATTTTGCAATTATAAACAATTGTGACACTGGTTGACAAACAGTATGACTTTCAAAAGGTTAACATTAACAACAGACCAGCAATGATTTCTCTAGTTTTTCTGGGTGGCCTACAAACTCCTCTGAGCACTACTTTTTCATACACCACTTTTTTTGAGTTGGTGTCTATACTCTCAAGTTACATTTGGACATGGTATTAGTCAAATCATAGACTTATGTTTTCCACACAATACTACTAATAACTGAATAACTTGATAGTGGTCTGTTATTTTTGACGTACAGTACCTACCAGACTGCTGTGCAGATTAGAGGGAACATTGTTCACCAGCTGATTCTGCATTTAAAAGTTTATCATTATCTGTATCTAGAACAGTGCACAGAAACAATACAGTAAATTTCAAGTGATTTCTGGACATATGTGGATAAAAACGAACTTTTGTTTTTCGGAACTTCTAATGTTTGTTTGGCATTAAATGTTGGGGCTTATGATGTTCAGCAAAAGTTGAAAAAATACTGATTGTTTTTACTCAGTGAACTTCTAAACCATTTCATAGGTGGAATCCCATCTGGTTAGTTCATCAAGAATGAAATTATATTCAGACAGGCCAACATTGTTTTGGTGTTCAGTTAAAGAAGACATTTTCTTTCAAGAAACTATTTTTCTGTAATGATATATTGCTCTAGATGCAGCTAGTATTCTTACTACTGCAAGGTCTAAGTTATGCCCAAAGTATGGGGGTAATTGATTGTTGGAACATGATGATTTGACAAGCTTAATAAAAGCCTTCTTATAGTTTGATTCATTGTCAGGTATCATAAACAACAGGTGTTTATGTTCTAATCCTCACTCACTTGACTTCTCAGAGACTCCATCTGAAGTAAACTCTGCTGTTTTATCAATGCTAAGTAGTGAACATTCCATACATTGATAACACGGCTTCCAATAATTAAATACATAATGACGTGGGTGATTGTTCTTACTTATACATGAATAATAGTGATCTTGTTCAGTTTTGGTGTTATGCATCATTTCATTGCTTAGAGATGGGATTTCATGGAAATCTATAACTAGGAAGTTGGTAATTCTGATGAAGCATTTCAAGGTCTATTTTTATTGTGTGAATAATGACTTCACATATAAAATTGGCAACAGCTCTGTTGGTTTTTGTTTCATTTAAGTGTTACTTATATGCAAGAATGGTGGTAAGAGAGTTTGCTGGTGCTGAACCTACACCTTAAATGTGCTTTTGCCTCCCTGTAGCCTTTACACTCAATGAAGAGTGCTTACCGTTAAAGCTGGTTCACTTGCTAAATGCTACAGTTTCTGTACCCATGAGATATAGAGTGCAGCTACCTCAATTTTTTTTTTCTAGCCCACCTCAACTCCCTCATTAGGAAGATGCTGATGCTATCCTTGCTTGTGGGGATATTACTTTTCAAACAAATTTGGAATTCAAGTGCTTGACCTAACTGCGTCACTGTCTATCATCTCACTTTTTCTAGTTCAAGAAGTAGAGGGATATGCTTTAAGAAGTTTACACAAATTAAGAGGAATGTCTGGGGTGGAGGAAGGAATCTGCTGAATACATGATTTTTATCACAAATGTTAGGCCTAAATTTTTCTTAGTTCTGTCTGATTATTTTAAAATGAAAAACAAAAACTTAATTTGTAAAATTACTCTTCCAGCTCTACATTACAAAATGAAATATGCTAGTTGACATGAATAGTTATATGGGTTGTTAGGCTTATTTTGTGGCTTTGCAAATTATTTTTAAAGATATCTGGCTATTTGAACATGAGTTTTGTTTTTATCCACTTGGGATATTATTTTTTCTTTGTAATGTATGAGTACTAGGTCTCTACTTCAATTTTCAGTGGGTTTTTCTTTTGCTGCTTTTCTTCGTATGAGGTTTGAAGGTTTTAAACATTGAACCTCAAGATTGTTTTCATATAATTGGAAAGTATAAAAACAATATTATAGGATAATTTGAATTTATTTTGTATTTTGTTTCTAAAGAGATAGATTTAATAGTTTTGCTGTTTTGTTTCTTTTAGGTTTCTTATCGTCTTGGAGAGTTATACAGCGAGATGATATTTGTTCAGGGATACATTCATTGTGATCCTCACCCTGGCAATATTCTAGTTGCTCAGTCTCCTCAAGGAGCTGAAATCATACTTTTAGATCATGGATTATATAGTGTAAGTAGAATCTGCAACATATACTTCAACACAGTATTGAATGTCAACCTGTATATATTAGAAATGATCATATTGTGAAAGTTTTACCTTTCCATATTTTAACATTTAGAAAGTCATGTTTTCATTAAATTTACTGTTATGCTAATGTGGAACTAATCCTCTATTCTGACTGTGGTGTAATCTTTAGAATTTTGCAATCACACAATTTCACGATATGGATTTAATGATGCTTTGCTCTGTGTTTGTTATAATTTAAAAGAAAATGTTTCGTGCTAGCTTGTTTTAAAAAAAAATGTATAACAAAAATTAGTCATGAGTGAATTTGTATATGGAAGCTGTACTTTTTGTTGAAATATTTTATGAAAATTTCATCTTTATAAGGTTTTATGAATGATTTATTTATAACCTAATGTAGCATGGTTTGGTGTTATTAATGTAAAGAAAGATACAACTACCCCTTTTTAACTTCTAACTTACCAGTGGAAATGTGAATGGTCAAGTGGAAGGTTTTTGTCTGACTTTATGTTTATGGCACTATTAGAAAAATAAGTAGGAGACCCAAAGAATCCCAGCTTTACTACAATTTAATTGTGAAAGTGTTACAATAATATACATAAACATTTAGTAAATTATTAGCTATTTATTGCAGACCTTTTACATACCATGTACATACATACATGGCCATCTGTGTGGAAAGTGTTAAGATAATTTTTATTTTTTTAGACTTTGACAGATAAGTTTCGACTCCAGTACTGTAACTTATGGCTTGCCCTCTTAAATGCTGATACTAAAGGTATGCATTATTGGGGAAAGCAACTTGGGGTAGGAGACTTGTTTGGCCTGCTGGCTTGCATTGTTACTGCTCGATCCTGGAAAGCTATTACTACAGGAATTGATCGCCAACGCAAAACTGAAGCAGAGGTAAGTCTAAAAATAGATAGTCTTGGAAAATAATCCCCATCAGAAGAAAATTTTGGTTGATTATGAAAAATGTACAATAGTGTTTTCTTTAAAATACAAGTTCTCTAAAATTTCTCCTGTGATACAATTAAACTGACTGGAATATTATATATATATATATATATCATTTAGTTCCTCTGTTTGCATTGAAAATGATGTTAAGAAATATAATTTAAAAGTTTATCATTTTGAAAAAAAAATTATATTATTTATTTATTATCACTGCAACTTCGGTTTTATTTGTAAAAAGCTGTATGCTCAGGTTCTAGTTAAAGAAATTGACAATAAAAGTACATTTAGTAAAAGTACATTAAATAAAAACAATATTATTACTAATATAAAGAAGGCCATACAAAATGAAATATATATGCAATTCCTAAATTGCACAAAAATCCCATTAAATGCAAATTTATAACAAATTCTATAAACACAGTTACTAAATCTATTTCAATTGTTCTTAATAATATTCTGGATGTTGTGTATGAAAAAATAAAAACACTGTTTAAATAAGAACAACATTCCAGTTTTGGAATGCTTAAACAATTTAAATGTTTCAAATATAGCCACATTTGTTTCTACTTATGATTTTACTACTTTATACACTAAAATAGACTTGAAGGATTTGATAAAAGTATTTAACTATCTGTTTGATGATTTTATAGACACAAAAATAAATATTCCTAAGTATAAATTTACTAAAATTCAATGTAAAACATTCTTCATTTCTATGTTTATAATAGTTATATTACTTTTAATGAACAGTTATATAAACAAACTGTGGGGATTCCAATGGGAGCTAACTTTTCTTCAAATATGGCCAATCTTTATTTATTTTTTTATGAAATGCATTTATGAAACAGGTTTCAAATCCTAAATTATACAGTTATACTTTTCTTATTTAGATGATCTTATTGCTGTAAGGAGTCGGTACTTTTCACCAAGTATAATATATCCAAAAGAACTTGAAACAGATAAAAGTAATAATAATAATAATATATATGCTAATTATTTAGATTTGTATATCAAATTAGTAAATGGTAAAGCAGAACTAAACATTTGTGATAAGAGAAGAGCATTTAATTTTCCCATCCTTTGTCTTCCCACCCCTAATAGTGTGGTTCCTCATATGATGCTGAAAGGTTTTATTTCATCTCAATTAAAAATATCTTAAACTGTTTCTAATAACAGTACATTTTTTATGGATAATGTTATATTATTCATAACTAAATTAGAAAATGATGGATATAAATACTGGCAAATAAAAACGTTTTTTGCAAGTTTTTATAATAAATTTCAAAATATTTTATTACATTAATATTCAATGAGGAAAAAAACCTTTTTTGTCATTAGAGGTAGGTAGCTACCTTTAATATGTAAGTTAAATTTATTCAGTATAGCCTGGACTGGAAAGATTAACTTCAAGTAGCTGGGCTTGTCTCAGCTATCCCATGCTGTACTTGAATAATGTGACAATATAAACTATTTATGGTAAGTCTTGTAGTTCTTTTTAAATCTTTTTTTTTTTTCAGAAAAGTTTGGAGGTTGGGAGTAACATGTAGTAGAATTATTAGGGTGGTATTTATTCTACTTTAATGATTTTTTAGAATATTTATGAGTGGAGGATGGTAGGCATTGTTTAGTTGAAATATATATTTGTTGGTTGGCTTAATTTTATATTATTTCTACTTTTAACTTTATTACATCTTTTTAAGGGTAACTGCATTCCCACAACTGGCTGCAGACAGTGAAAGGTAGTAAGAGTTGAGACATTGTGGGTGTAAGCACTCAACTCTGTACCCTTATTGAATTTTCCATGACTACTGACTGGTTTCTCATCTGTTTTTTGGATTTTGTCTGATAGATGGGATATCCCCAATGCTTTTGGGTGCTAATACCACAGGCAAACTCCATTATGACTTTTGGATAATGACTGAAAAGTGCGAAAGTTTTTAAATAGAGTTTTGAATTTATATATATATATATATATATATATTCACATTTATATTTGTTTGTACTTAAGCACAAAGCTGTGCCCACCATGGGTATCAAAACCCAGTTCCTAGCATTATAAATCTGCAGACTTCCAGTGTAGCTACCAGTTTGGCCACCAATTTTTGATTTCAGTCCTTTAAGTCGCACACTCAATCCTTTTTTACTGCACTTTTTTTATGTACCTAAGATGTTTTTGATTAGATTAATAATAATCGTAAAAGCCATCTCATTAATTCATTTTCAGGAAATGTAACATAGCTGAGGTCTGTTAAAATTTATTCTGAATGAAATTAATATTTACGAAAAAAAAAAAATTGAGTCTTTTCCAATTAAACTTGTGCCATATATTTGAAAATATTTGTATTATATTCTTACTAAGTTTGCTTCACAAAGTTGAACCACCTTTGCAGTAACAATAACTGTTAAGTGCTGTCTCGCGAGAAATCAAGTATGTACTTTCATGTGTCTTTTTATATAAAGCAATGACACAGAAATTAAAGCTTAAATTTGGATTTGAGCCAGAACTAGAGGATTTTGTAAAATTAACTATAGGTAAGTAGATGGACTTGATCTAAGAAAAACAAACATGGTTTTAAATCTCCTCTTTCAGAGTAATGAAATCAGAAATTTTGCTGCAGAGTATCTACCTCAGATTGCAGCTGTACTGAATAAAGTACCGAGAGAAATGTTGCTGATTCTGAAGACTAATGATCTTCTGCGAGGAATTGAAGCATCATTAGGTAAGTAATGATCTTCACGTGATATCTGATGAAGTGGAGTACCAGAACTAGGCTTAGATTTTAACAAAATATGCTGTGTAAAAGTATTCAAGTTAATTTTCATAAAATATTAAGATTTCAAGAAAGTAAATAAAGAGATATTTATACTATAAACTTGGCCAAGAGGCAGAATTTTGAAGTTTTATATACTCTGATAAGGATTTAATAAAAAATGTAACATCTATTGAGGTTTGAGTTCGTTTTACTTCACCATATAATAACCTAAGTTAATTTAGGTATGTGAATAATGTTAATTAATTAATAAATTTTGTTGAATTCATTATTCAATATTATAATGGTGAAAAAGAAATCTTTAATATATATATATACAAACACATTTAACAGTTTATGCATTTTTTGGTTTTTACATTTTTCATGTGTTTAGCAAGTGAAATAAAGTCAAGAATTTCATACTTGCAAACCATTATATCTTTCTGTTCAGATCCAAAAAGGATTAAGTGTGTCATTAACCCTTTTACTATGGCTGGGTGGATTCCAAACCAGTCCATATCCCCCAAAGTAACCATAAAGCAGTTATACTGTAACTTTTTAAAAGGTACATGTACCTTCATGATATTTTGCAGATTACCAGTAAATGTTACAAGGCTTTTGTTTGTACACAAGATATCAGATTTTTGAATTAATGATTTGCTCAGGCATTTTTTCTTCTTGAATGTTGACTATCCAATATGCAAAGTAATTTTGATTTTAAGATTAGAAATACCTTTATGCATCAGAAAATTGTCAGATTTCACATGCAAAATCTCTATAACCTCCAGATAATTATCAAACTTTTTTTTTAGAAGAACTTTATATCTTATCTGTTGTTTTCACTATTTTATCTTTGAATGAGCTTGGTCGATTTGACCGACCTCATAACTACCATAAAAAATTAGGAAATAGATATAAATTATGCTTTTATTATTCTAGAATGACTACAAGTTATAACATGAAACCACAAATGTTTATTTTAAATAGCTTAAATCTCATAATATTATACATTTATATATGTTTAATATTTTTATTTTATTGACCTTTCAGCTGTATTTAACTAACATTACAGAAGTTGCAATTATGCGCCACACGTGCACTCATTTTTACTATATTTAATAGCATAAAACTGGCCTTTACAAAGTGCAATTGTTTTAACTTTGTCCTAGTGGACCAGTACTTCGTAGGATAAAATAACATTTCAGTTATAATACATTACATAAGTATATATATTATTACTTATTACCTTGGTTGATTCACTAAATATAATAATATCTCAGAAAATAGTAAAGGTGGGAAGTTCTTATTTTATATTCTAGCTTGTCAATATTGGTAATTTGAATTTCTAATTCATAAGAAACTATACACTTTGTACTTGGATATCACAAACATCTAATTTGAACTAAAGCTGCACACAAAAATTGATATTTATGTATCTTGTTTTAATATTTACTTTTAAATTAAGAAATTAACTAATGTATGATACTACAAGTTTAATTATAATCTACAATTTAATACCAAATTTATTGACACATTCATAACAAAGTAGTTCAATAAAATTTTATATGTAAGTACAAATGTGATGACATATCCTATGACCCTACCTGTAGCTAAAAGAGTTAAAAGGGAAATTTTGATCAATGGTATGGTAGATATTAAAGTATTCTGATGACTCAAATCCTTAGCTATTGAATATTATTTTTAACTTTATTGACTGTAAACAACATACATTAATTAGTTTACCATTATTGAAGAGAAGCCATATTTGTTAGATATAAGTAACCTCAAGCAAGAGTATTTATTAGCAAAAATAGTTACCTAGCTTGACAAAAATGGTGGTGAAACTATTTTGAAAGGCGAGGTTTAGGATCACTGATAAATCGTTGTATGTTTTTAAGATTTATAGCTACAATTTGAGTATTTTAATTGGAAAAAAGAAGTATGAAAATTTGTGATCGATGATGATCATTTAAAAAAAATTTGAATTGTAAGATGAAAAGTATTTTTTTTTTTTTTTGGGAATATCTCAACCTAAAAAATGGTAGAAATACTAAATCAAATTTTATATGAATTTGAGCCAAAACTACATGTTATTTACTAAATTTGTCCAAAGATTTTTGCAAATTGTTTTAAATATTGTTACTGTGAGAAGAGAAAGGGTTAAAGTTCTTGTTCAAAAATTAATTTTTACAACAGTTTTGGAAATGAGGTCAAATTTCAGTTCAACCTTATAATTAGTGCTTAGTTTAATCATGGTCAGAAAGCCTTTGATATCATGAACTCTGAAGATCTACAGTCAAAGTACTGATTGACATAGATGCTTGTAAACAATATTTGAGGGAACAACAGAAGGAATGGAATGATTTATTAAAGGATAAAGATTTATTCCATTTTCTGTGTTGTATACAAGCATATTGTGGTTGAACTGAAATTAATTTCATATTTTTGCTTGTCTTGTCATCCATCTGTTTACGTTTTTACCCATCCAAAAGAAAGGTGGATGGGATAATGCCTATAAAATCCTACGTCTCAGTTAATACTTCCTTGGAGCAGAGAACATAATTATATGTTAAACATATATATATTTAACTGCATGTTTGTTTCAGAAATGTTTTGTTTTTTGAGGATTTCCCACTTTCTTGTGTTTTTTCTAAAGGAACAGCAGGTGCAGCTAGTTCCTTCATCTCCATGTCGCAGTGCTGTGTTAGAGCGGTTAGTGCTCACAATATGAAGAACTGTGCAGGATGGTGGTGTCGTTTTAAAGTTCAACTTCAGCGTTCATGGGCGGAGACTAAAATCACTCTTTATCAGGGTTATCTGTGGGTTAAAAGGTTGTCTTTGCCAAGATGGGTTAAGAAATTTTTATGTATTTTATAATGTTATGTTTAAATATAATGTAATAAAAGTAACTGCAGGGCACAAGAATAATAGTATAATTGAGTATAATTGTAAAAATGAATTGCACTTATAGTAAAGTACTGATTTTACTAACGAACTTCCTATTGTATATTTTATGTTACAAATAGATATTTCAATGAAAATGTAATGCCTGTTCGTACTCTTTAAGTTTCAAGTTTTTTTATGTATTATGAATTAAAGAATCTCATTGCAGCTTTCATAAGGAGCACTTTGAAAGTTAAGGTGTGAACTTATTTTTCAACTGTACTAATATATATTACCATTTGAAAGAAAAGGCTTAATTAAGTCAATAAGATATTTATTTTTAGAAATCAGTTAAATTTCAGTGTTGTTATAGAAAACACTAAATGATTGTTAACCAAAGGTTTACTACACGTTCTTTTGTGCAGAACTGGTACATTTTTAAAATGTTTGAACTGTATGTTTTTTCAAGTTTCTTCATACAGATTTTTTTTCTTGAAAGTAAATATTCTTATGATGTTGACAGTAGTTAATTATCAGTAGACAAAGAAATTAACTGTTAGGATTTCATATATTTATACTTAAAAGCATTGTTTAATTAGGAATATGGCAGTTTTTGCTCAATGAATGTTGTAAATATTCCTTCAACTACTTATGTAAAAGTTAAATCATCTGATATTTTTCATTAAAAACCTAACAATATAAAATCATTCTGTGCTGTTATCACGTGATGCAATATAATTTGTGGAAAAATTGCATGACTAAAAACAAATTAATGACAAAGTTTTTATTTATTTAACTAATATCAATAAAATCTACTAGATATCTACATATATATATATATGTTAAATATTTCAAATATCAAATTGTAATATTTTTCACTGAGATAACATACATCTAAGACAGTTTAAGCACTAACAGGCTCACTATAATGGAAAACTAATTGTAGTGGTTTAACAAATCATGCAATTAAAAAGGGTCATGATTTGTGTTTGCAAGGTTTTTAATCATGAAAAAGGTGGCCTTAAGAACCTGTAATTCATTTCAATGTTTACTAACAAATAACATGTTAATTAAATATTGGTAGAAATAATTTCATTTTTACTTGTTAATTTCAGCCTGATATGTGATAAATGAGAATTTACTATTTAAGTTTTATGTTGATTTTTGATGCAAAATTGTCTGTACCATATGTACTAGAATGAATAAAAATCCATTTTTAGAGAGTTTGACATTTGAACTTGAATATTTTTATCACGTCAAAGAAAAATTATTAACCCAGTATATACTTTGGATTTACATCCAGCTCTCAGGACCATGCTTTTCTTTGATCACCATTATCTTGTCAATGACTTCACCACCCTTTAAAGGATATAGAAAGTCCATAACTACATGGAAAGTCTTATCAACAAACTGAATAATATACTTAAATAAAAAGCTCATTATCAACATGATTTTTTTATATAATTTTCAGTAAATACTGTTATAAATGATACAAACCTAAAAATCATCCATTCATTTAAGAATAAATATTATATCCAGACCAATTCTTGTAAGAACAAAACAGTAACACTAGTTCTCTGTTTATAGAAAATATAATTACTCTGTTTTTATCTCTAACTTGTAGAAAATATACTTAAAAGAACATTGATATTGACTTAGCTTCGTTTTAATGTTACATGTTTAAAGAAAAATCAAGTTGACAAAGTTGATGTGATATTTTAAAATGTTCTATCTATTAACACTTAAACTTGTCTTATGTATGTAAGTAGTTTGTTTTTCTAGATGTGGTATTAACTGATATGTTGAAGATAAAACAAACCTTATCATCTGACACTTGTTCTAGGGACAAATGGGTATTGTTGATGACTTGCATACGAGTATAACCGTAGTCTGCATTTCTAAAAGCACTCCAAGGGGGTGGATTAGCCACAAATGGGTCATGGCGTTCTTGACAACCCTGTGTAAAATTATAATTCAAAAATTTACAAGAGGTAATCATGTGAGAAGTACATTACCTTCTATGTATTATATAGAGCAAGCAAAGAATATTGGCACTGACTGTGACATAGTTGTCTTTAGAATCAATTGTAATTGTTCATTTAGCCTTGTAGTTGTGTTTAGTCCAAAATCTTCAATTATAAAAAAAAGACAGCATTGATGCTCTAACATGGCAATCTTGAAGAAATATTCTTGTTAAAAATAGTTACTTAGTGTTACTTTGAATAAATTCCATTTTGTGACTAATTTCTACATTTAATAGCTGATCGATGGCAACCAGAAAATTTCTATGTCACTGCTCATCAGCTGAATTTTTTTAAGTTAAGGATCAATATTAGCTCTTCAAGCAGAGTGAAATAAATCTTTTCAGCTTCTGATGAGAATATGCAAATTTTTAAACTTTGTTCGGTAAAATGATAGCTGAGAAAGAAATATCCTGATTGTTTTAAATATATGAAACTTTTTCATAGCTAATTAATTGGAGCTATTGTAATTGAATCAGAGAAAAAAAAGAGTGATATAAGCAACAAGAAATTTGAACAAGTGAACTTAGAAAAGCAATGCTGGATATTTATCTGGTCAAGAAACTAACCTTATGACAGTTTACATTATGTGTTTACAGTGTTTGACTTAGAATTATATGATAGAAGTCAACTTACAGCTGATCCAGTGATGATATGAACAGGTGCCTTGGGGTTGGTGTAAGGCTCTGCAAAGCTTCCGTTGTAAACCTGCCAATTGAAATAACATTTTAAGTTCATTTTTATAAAAATGGTTTGTTTGTACCTGGCTATGACATTTTGGTTGAAAATCATAGTGTGTCTGGTTTTGGATTTTTTTTTTTTTTTAGAAGATGAGGATGCAATGGTTTATAACTTACTGTATTCTTTGTATATCTTTTGTAGTGGTATTTATTTGCATATCAATGATTACCAAAAATTGGTATGTCATAGTAAAAAATAAAGCTTTCAGACAATTATTTAACTTTTACATATCATATAAAGTGCTTTTACATTAAACAAGGTGTTATCAGTAGGCCTTAAAATTAATTCTTGGCGAATTAATTTAAAATACCATATACCCCGAATACCAGGTGCTATTGCAATTATTATTAGTGTAAGCTAGATATGGCCTTATTTAATGGACATCTTGAAATACTGTATGCCGTTAACACACTTGTATTTAAATTATTTACAAATAGTTGATTTCCAGTCTATCTTCATTATAGCTACTCGGTGGCTCAGCGGTGAGAGCTTATAATGCTAATCGGTTTACGGTACCCGCAGCAGACAAAGAACATTGCGCTTAACAACAAGCAGTTTTATTATATTTCCTTGTCAACGGTTTTCCTTAGATAGATGAAGCTTGCCTTTGCACATTTGGTTAGTTCCACACTGATATATAAACTTCTCTTAATCCGATAAACATAACTTAATAAAATTAGTTAGTTTTATCTGGGACATAAAATGAACAGAAAAGGTGTGAAATGACTCTTTATTTTTTAAGAAACTTTTTCACGATTAGTACATTCAAGTGTAAACAGCCTGTTCACGGCGAGTTCTGAAATGTAATTAACTACGACACGTTCATTATTGTTTTATATAATACGTCATATACAATGTATGTTGTTCTTGAATTATTTCAAACATTCAATTAATAATCTTGAACAACAGTTTGGTTTATTTTGAATTTCGCGCAGAGCTACACGAGAGCTAATATAGCAGTGAAAGACTAGAGGAGAGGCAGTTAGTCACCAGCACTCACCGCCAACTCTTACCAGCGAATAGTGGGATTGACCATCACATTACAAAGCCCTCACGGCTGAAAGGGCGAGCATGTTTTGGTGGGATGAGGATTCGAACCCGCGACCCTCGGATTGCGAGGCGAGCGCCTTAACCACCTGGCCATGCCGAGTCTTGTTGTAACTTATAGAATATTGTAAATGGGTCTTTACTGTATAGAAACACCCTTAAAAGTAAATGGCTCGGTATGGAGTGACTCATCAAATAACTGGCTATGTAGCAGGTGGTTATTAGTATTTTGGTATTTTCAAAAACCTCAGTGGAATTACAATCAACGTACCAGGAGGCATGACTGCTGTGTAAAACGACTTACAAAACGGAAGTTACCAAGAATGCAACTGTTCGTATATTCTAGTTTTTGCAAACGCCTACTCGGAAGAAAGTGCTATGAAGATTCCAACATGAAGACAGATACTGCCAAGATTGATTTTACACGAGACCATATGACATCTGACGACATAATTAAAGTTCTGAAGATAAGAAGGGAATGTCAAAGACAGACACTATAAACGAAATGGCAGACCACAAATCAAAACCTTACAAGGAAATTCGAGTGTTCCTCCATGCAAAATCACCCAACGTTATTATTAAAGGATTGAGAGACAAGGATTATGTACAAAGGCTCTTTCCCTAGGAGAAATGCTCAATCATTCACATTTATTTGCATATTGTTGTTACAAGATTGCCAGTTGGGAAAATACTGACACAAAGGAAGTCTACAGTTCAAAACAACTAAATTCCTTGCTTAACAGTTCAAGTCAAAGAGGAACATACCATGTCTAAAGGAAATGCTAAAAACAATTGCAACACCATTGTCATGATAAAAAAGTTTTTAGTGTAGATATTATTGATTAATTTCTTTTTATTATTGTTTAGTTTTTGTTATAATAAAAGTTAAAATCAGACGATTGTAGGAAGTTTTGTTAATAATTCATTGATGTTGAAACTATCGAACGTCACCTGCAATATATTGTTGCGTCATCGAGATCACGTGACTATTCTCACGCCCTCTACTTTCCTGTACTATCCTGTACTTTGGCGAATGCTCTAGTATTTACTAGATATAGGGTAGCCTGGTATATAAAAGAGGGTGACAACGTGACGGTAAAATAATGTGTGTGTAGATAGTGAGTAATTGAACTGCAGTCAGAAGTATTGTTGACGTTCGTTGATATAGCGATTGTTAAAAATAAGTGTATCGTAAAGTTATATTCGGAAAGAATAAAACAATTTTATTAAGTAAGGACCTGTGTCGCTAAAGTTTCGTCGGAACGAAGTTACGGAAAGTTAATTAACAAACGGAAACGTAACAATATTGACGTCGAGAATATAGAAAGCGGGCAGACGATTAGGTAATAAAGATATAAATAGCATGAGACGAATGAGAAGCAGCAGACAGAAGCAAGCAGATAATAGCAAAATAGAATAAAGTTGTTGTGAAGTTAAGTATCGTAGAAGTGATAGGCCTAACGTTTAATATGTTAGCGTGAAACTAACAGTAGAAAAGAAGATAAGACAAATAATTTTATTCCGACAAAGCGTGGTTCTAAAGTAATTGAATCACCCTGAGTGCACTTTGACAAAAGGAACAGAAGAAAGAAGACCAAAGAATTACTGTAACTCACGCCACAACTGTAATCGAATCACACACACACAATATTAGTGGGATAGTAATAGAGAAGATAGTTCAGCTTATCAACTGAAATTCTAAAGTAATTAAATAGGCCTAAGTGGACTTTTGACAAGAAGAAAGAACTATACATAAAGTGTTTATGATATGCCTATAATATCTTTAGTGTGAAGAATTTGTTGTGCATATGTTTAACTTGTTCCGAATATATATATAATTTTGAAAACAAGTGAAGTGCGTGTTGTTCATTTATCGTTAACAAGTCACAGACGCCTACTGTAGAGGAATCCTAAGCCCAACAACAACAGTGTATATGTTTATACTGTTAAGAAATATATGTAAAAACTTTTTCATTTTGATTATTAGTAAAAAAGAAAAATTATATATTTCAAATTCTGACAACCATAGTCACAAGAGACTATGGTTCAAAGTTTTACAGAAAGTCCATTACCAGAAAAAAAAAAAAACTCGTGGTAAAAAAAAAGTTTACATATTTTTGAAGAATCATTGCTAATGAGCACACTAAAAAATTTAAAGTGGCAGATCCACCATAAAATACAACAGAATATTCAGATCTTAGAGATGTGAAAACATTAGTCTGACATGTACAGTGAGCAAGTCACTGTTGGACAAAAGGATAGTTAACTGACACCTTTATCGATGGGTTTCTTTTAACTAAAACACCAATGGAGAATGTCACAACGAACAATGTGGATACTTTTGTTTCTTCCACTCGCTTGATGAAATTCATTGAAATGTGTGGTCACACAGATTTGAATATACATTAAACAAAAAATATAGATGCGATGCACAAGGATACATAGATTTTTCCATAGCTAACACGTCGCAACTGTTTGGTTTTTATGATGGTATTCATGAAATGGAAATTGGTCCTTTATTTGAATTCAGTGCGTGGTCTTTGTAATCTGGTTATTTAAAGAATACAACGTTTTTAAGGACTCTCATCATTAAAAGAGCTGGAAGAAGATAACTGGTTGGAGTGAATGGACAATTCATGCAATATGCCATATATTTCACACTCAAAAGGGCTCTTGGAATTGCAATATTCATATCTTTCTCTATGCACATATATATTGTGTGTGTTGTACCTTTCTCTGACAACATGACAACTGTGAGAAGATGGATAATCTGGGAACTACTGAATTGTTTGTTTTTTTATATTTTTGGAGTCACTTAAGATGTAGTATTTCCAAACCTAACGAAAGAGTTATATCAGCCACGTCAAAGTATAACTCCAATCCACAGCGAAACTCTTGTCAAATGCAAATCAAATTACTTCAACTCGAAGTGACCCATGGACTTCATATGTGGTAAATATAAAAAACAAAATAAAAAACATTCAAATGTGCAAAATGGTGCTTTACCAGTAGAAATGCCAAGACTGGGACCACCTTGAATGTATAGATCAGGGGTCACCAAACTACGGCCTGCGGGCCGGATTCGGCCCACCGCTGCACTGTGCCACAAATGAGCTAAAATATAATTACTTATATGGAAATATCATAGATTGTAGATAAACTTACTATGTAGAAAAAATTAAAATAAGTGTAAGTAAAAATGTCCAAATTTGTCCAATCTGATTTTTGCATCTGACAGTAATATAAGTTTTAGGAAAATCAGTGAAATAAAAAATTCGGCGACTTTTTGCGACTTTGGATATCAGAGCGCTTTTTGTGTAAGTACCTGCAATGAGAGTTAATTCCTGCAGTCGCCTCTGCACGCAGTGTTGTAAGACGATACAATGCTTACAGGCAGTTCATACAAGTAGTGTGACGAGTGTGCGTATGGTTACACAGCTTTGTGATAGAGAAGACGTGTGCGTGTATTGTGTGTGCTTCTATGTATATTTGTGTGTTGTAC